TTTTTTTTTTCATTTTCAGTGTGTATGTGTGTGTATGAGTACAGGCTGAGTAAACCCCACAGTGGTTTCCAGGCCCAGGGTGAATAAAGGTGCCTTTTGTCAGGCGTGGGGTGGGTGGGGGCCAGGGAGGTGGGTGGTGTCCAGTCTGGAACAAGCATGAATGTTCCCTCAGTTCCCTCAGACATCGCACTTCCCTGCCTACTTTCACAGCAGCGCTAGAAGAGAGCGAGAGAAAGGAGGCGGTGGTGGAGGAGGAGGACCTCTGGGTGGGGTAGGGAGGAGGTGAGCGGGAAGCTGGTGGGGGGGTGGGGCTTGCATCCAGCCAGTGAGCTCATTGGAACAGCGTTGTTGTTTTATCCTCCTACCGAGCGTGTAGTTTTTGGAAGGCATACGAGCCGCCGGCCGGCCAGCTCTCTCAGTCGCCCCTCAGTGCTGAGGCAGAGAGGAGCTACCCCACTACCCCGTCCTCATCCACCTTTTCTCCCCATAACCCACACATACACCCTCACTTAGCCACAGATATCGCTGAGGGAGGGAGGTCGAGCAGAGACTTGGTCGCGACGGTTAGGAGCACCTGTATGAGTTTTTCTCAGTTTTTCTTCACCCACCTGAGCTCTGATTGGTTTATTCACGACATGTTGTGTGTTTTTGTTTTCCACAACTTTTTTGCGATGGTGGCGACGAGGACCGAGAGAAAACCGGAGCAAAAAGCAAGCTATGAGAGGAGACACTTAAAGGTGTCCTAACCGGATTTGTTTTCTCTCTGTGTTCCCCCCCCTCAGCCATCCGGTGCTCCGGTGGAAAATGACCCTCTGGGCCCGCTGCCTCCTGGATGGGGTGAGTTCATCTAACGCACGCACACATGCACACACTTCTGCGACTGTTAACAAACTCCAGGCAAAGACGAGAATATTCTAAAATCGTCTCCAGGTGTGCTAGATTTACAGCCTGTTTGAAAAGAGTGATTCTGCCTCCCTCACCGGTCCTGCAGGTAGGTTTGGCGACACTCAAACTACCTGACGTGAACCTTCGATTTAATGGTTCAAAATGCGCTTTCCTTATGTGCGTGCAGCTGTTAGGTGGAGGTGTTGGAAAACAGTTGCTGCACGGTGAAATTTTCCCTCCCTTTTACAGATCTCAAAGCACATTTTTGGAGATTTCAAACCTTTCTTCTGGTTCTGTGGCTATTACATTTGTCCTGAAACACTGACCTGTGAGCCAGCCAACTGTTAATTGATTGATAAATCCCTCCACTGATGGTGATTTTCATTCCCGTGTAGAAAAGCTGGATAAAGTGTCTCATGGTTTCTTTTCAGCGCTCTACTCATTTATCACTGTACGCTTTCCTTTTGCTCTGAAATCCACAAATTACAGAGGGCTGCGTTATTGATGGGGCTCTTCATCATCCACCGCTGCCCCAAAAGAGCAATGTAACCGGAGCCACGGCGAATCGTTTCCCGCACATTCATTCATAAACGAACGCTGCTGGCGGTTCCCGGTCCGCCAACATTTTCACAGACTTCATCACAGCCGTGTTCTCTCCAAAAATAAAAAATAAAAAATCCCCCGCTTTCTGCCCGTGATGCCTTTTCAACATGTTGCGGTACCTCAAAACCTCAATTACATCGCTGGCTCTGATTTGCTTCTCGGGTGCGCTTTTTTTTTCTCATCTGCGGTTGCTCCGATTTGAAAAAGAGAAAGATGGGAGATGGAGGAGAAAAGAAGGGAAAGTGGCAAGTGGGGTGGTTATAGTAAAGTGGGGGGTGGAGTGAGTAGGAGTTGCAATGCGAGCACTACTGTTTCTGAACCCTCCACACAGTCCTGTTAATGAGAAAAAGATGTCAGACCAGCGGCGGGAGGAGGAGGATGGGGCACCAGTGTACACTCTCTGCTGTATGTCTGTGGTCACTCTGACACACACACATACACATATTTTGCTTTACCCCAGTGAGGTATTTGGATCACCCCACAGCGAAATGCCACAAAGACTCGCTGCTTTTCTCTCATAGCGGCGAGATTTTTTTCTTCTTCTCCTCTCGGTCAGGTGATCCCTCTGATCCCGTCGAGTGTGGAGTTTTCCAAGAACCTCTGAGCCCACTGAGCATGCTCCTTCTGCCCCATTTGTCTCCACAGAGAAGCGTCAGGACAATGGCAGGGTGTATTTCGTCAACCACAACACACGGACGACGCAGTGGGATGATCCTCGGACCCAAGGGTGAGACAGCGAGCTGGAAAATATCTCTGTGTGCGTGCATGTGTTGGCCTGCTTGTTAGGTGGCGTGCCGCTTTGGGTGTTTGCTCATACTCAAGACGTGGTAGTCATGCACAGTTTAGTATGACAACACAGTGACTCATCTACATTATGATATAAACACGAGTAGAGTATTATCCCCGAGAGGAACATTTATTTCACAGCCTGACATAAGTTAAAAAAAAAAAGCAGCTTTACCTCACAATATGTTGGACACAGGTCCGATGCGCTGTTGGTCATCTCGCTCACTTTCCTGATTTTCCTCTTGTCTCACCCATACTAGTAGACCCGCTGACATTTCAGAGTTTGAGCCTTCTTTGCATCTTCTCCTGGAGATGCATTTGCTCTCCTCAGTGTGTTAGATAAACCTTTGTTGCCATTCTAGATCTTTTCTAGAATCCTAAAAGCATGATTTTCTTCTTGTAAATGATTCATTTTTTAGCATGCAGCCAACTGATTATTTTCCCCTTCCCCTTTTATAGAGTCTTTGGTTCAAATTTTCAGGCTAGCCAAGCAAAGCAAAAACACGTTAAAAAGACAACGTTTACGAAAAGGTGAAAAGCTGTGTTCTTCTTCTTAATTTTCATCCAAATTGGTTTGAAAAGTGAAAAACGCTGTTCCTCCTCTGCATTTCTGCAAATTCCTCGGACAACAGACAGATTTAAAAGCAGGCACTTCTTAGTAAGTAAGTAAAGTTTATTTATGTAGCACTTTTAAAGACAGGAATCTATTACAAAGCTGTATTAGCATCGTCACCTCTTACTGTGAGGTGGTGATGCCACTGTGTTAGCCTAGCATCCGGGAACACGATAGAAAGGAAACGGATTCACAGGCAGATCAGGGCGACTGCTATGAAATTTATTGTGATTAAAAAATATAGAGCATGTAAGAAAGAAAGAAAGAAAAAAGTGGCGATAATGTGTTGGAGTGCATGGATTTGGTGAGAGACTCAGTCAGAACTACACAAAAGCATACAAAAAGAACAATTACTCAGATTAATATCACACTGCTGACACCATTTATACATCCGTATTTAATTTAAAATGATCAGGTTTTCCGTCAGTATCGTTGCACTCCTTAATAAGTGTGTGTGTGTCTGTGTAAAGTTGAAACCATGTCACAACTAAATAAAAGATCAATCAAATATCGCATTGAACAAATAAAAAAATACACTTTGTATTTTTTAAACACGGGGTGCTAAACTTTAACTTAAACACAACCTTGACCGTGACAAAAGTTTAGAGTTTTAGACCTCGGATCAACACAGTAGGTTTAAATAGAGCGACTAAAGCATCAGGGAAAGAAAACTGCTTTTCACCTTAAAGCCAAACATGCTGCTTCTGTGTCCTCTAAGCGTTCTTGTGGTTTGAAGCCACCTGAATAATCAAACCTACCATTGCCATGCTCATAGGAGGTAAACTCCACTGTGGCACACCGGCGCAGGCTTTCTGGTTTTAGCACGAGTTGGCAGGGGAAGGTATGTCAGTTTCATCCCCCGAGACGGGGCCCCTCGAGCCGGGACCGCGCTCACTGCCCTCTCCCCTGTTGCAGGATGATCAAGGAGCACCCCCTGCCCCCGGGCTGGGAGATGAAGTACACCGCCGAGGGAGTCCGATATTTCGTGGACCACAACTCGCGCACCACCACCTTTAAAGACCCTCGACCTGGGTTTGAGTCAGGGTAAATATTCTCTCAGCCCTTTCCTCCCAAAGCTGTCACAGGCCGAGGCAAAGACTTCCTAATTAAATGATCATTCGACACTTTCTCCAAAATATTTAAGTGATTTTTGCCTCGGCCTGACATAACTGCATTGAAAATATTAAGTCACACAAGCCGCTCGTTTGGTGAAAACCTGAAAATAATCTTTTTTCTAAACTCCCATCATCTTTGCTGTTCCTTTTTATCCATTACCTTTCCTTTCTCTCCTGTTTTGAATATTTCTTTGAGTCAGAGAGAATCAGTGTCACAGAGGATCTCAGAAAACTCACACACACACACACTGCTCTTCCCCTCAGCCTGTGAGTGTTTGCTTTGCCTTGAAGCAGTCTCAAATCCCAGAATGTGCAGATGTGCGACAACACATCCACTGCAGACTGCGCTGGCATCTGTGTGGGTGTTTGTGCTTTTCTGTGTTTCTGCATGCAAGTGTGTATTTGCTTGTGTGGTCAGTGCTGAAGACGTGTGTGTGTGTGTGTGTGTGTGCATCGGCGAGCTGCTTTTCATGCAGATACTTGCACGTATTTTTAGGCTGCTATTTCACAGAGGCCTCCTTCACTGTTTTCTTACACTGGATCCTGCAGGAGTGTGCGTCCGCGGCCAGCGCTCTGCTGCTGCGGTCGCCATTTCCTAACCCAAACCGAGATGTGCCTGGCAGCTCGGCAAGCACAGACCCGACGCATTAGAGGCCTCCTTCTTCTTCACTCCCCCCCAAATCATCTGTCTAACTCTACTTCTGCTTCTCAGCCTCTGTGCTGCTGACAAGGCAGATATCCACTGTGTGCGTGTGCGCATACAGTGGGTTGGTGGAGCTTATACTAACACAGCTGCGGGGCCAGGCTCACCTCTGTCTTTGCGACTCAGACACTCGAGGGCTGTAGAGCTGATGCAAATTAAGTATTCCTCAAAAGAGGACGCCAAGTTTCTGTTGGTCAGCTGACCTTTAGAGTTCTGTTGAAACTTGTAAAATTGACCAACTTTCTCTGTTTTCTGTGTGTGTGTGTCTGTGTGTGTGTGCGTGCAGGTCACGGCAGGGCGGTTCACCAGGCGCTTACGACCGCAGCTTCAGGTGGAAATACCACCAGTTCCGTTTCCTGTGCCATGTAAGTGTTAAATAGAGTCTGTAGCCACAATAAAACTCCCCACTTTGCTCACCTTGATTATTGCAGTCTGGATCTGTTCACCCAGAGAAGGAAAAAAAAGCATAATTCACTCTAAGACTGGAAAAGTGTGGCCAAAAAATATATTTTCAGTTTTCTGGACGACTTGGTTTTCAGGCAGTTATTTCCTCTCTACATAAACTCAAGACAAAACATCACTTTCTTTATTAAAACTGCACACCTTTCCTCACGAGCTACAGCAGTATAGGGCCAAACTAGAGAGAAACTATCGTTTTACACATCACAAGCATTATTGCATAGACCGATTACACTGATTGGGAGTTGAAGGCTACATCTGCTTGTGCACATTCTAATACTGTAGAAAGAAAACCTGTGAGATCCTGATAATAAGGGAAAAATGTCAGTTTGTGGCGTTAGAGTGCTGCCACTTTCAGTCATTACCGTCATAGAAGCGCAGCTGTTTACCGGTGCAAGCCTTTAAACAGGAGAACAGAGTGCACGTTCAGAATTAGAGAGTATTTCAAAAAAGGCAAAATTTTTTTGGTTTTAGCCTCATATAAATCTTCGAGTCTTCGACGTTCTTAACGCAAAGTTGGACTTTCAGGAGGCTTTTATTTTGTAGTAGACACGGCTTTAGGAGCATTCACATGTTAGCGGCATGTGAACCAAACCAAACTGATTGGCAAGCGCTTTATATCTGTCAAGTGACATTTCCACTGTGACTGAACTCAGACTGAGCTAAGCTAAGCCACATGATGTCATTGTGGTTACGGGGAGGTCTTAGAGGGGGAGGCATCCATGGATCCACAGAGAGCTTCAGATACCGTCTCGAAAAAAGAGAAAATCTCAGGTTGCATATGTAGGCATCGTTACCAGTTTGTTTATACTTATGGTGTCTGGAAAAATCTTATTACTAGCTTCTATTTAAGCCCTCTGGATGAACTGGAGTTAGTTGGTATGCTCCAGCATCAAGCTCTTCCCATCTGTCCTGTCAGTCTTCATTTAATCTCAGTGTTCTGATTCATACTCAAGAAGATTTGATGAAGATGCCATAGCTTTATTTTAAATGTATTTGCCATTTTGTTAAAAATCTTTAAAAGTTGAACTATGTGTGTCTGTGAGCCATAGTGTTCTTCACTTTTTGCCGCTTTTTATCCTCCGTATACTTCACACCCAGCAGCCTGAGACTAAAAAGAGAAACATCAGTAATGAGATGGTACAGATCAAGCAGTGACGTGCTCTGTAAACGCTGGACCTGTTTTAAATGCTGACACATGTGAATTGTAGAAAGGGATTAGGATTGGGATTACAGAAATATCCCGAGGTTTTCTTCTCGCCTTGATGGTGGTGGTGTTTTTTTCTTTTTGTAATGTGCAGTCTAATGCCTTACCCAGCCACGTGAAGATCTCCGTGTCCAGACAGACGCTGTTTGAAGACTCGTTTCAGCAGGTCAGAGACGGATGAAACACACTTGTTATTTTTCTTTGTTCTTCTAGTTTACATAATGGTAACATTTAATAACTACATCTTATCTTATCTCTGCTTTGCATTGGTGCTTTATGTTATATAGGAAAACACTGTGATAAGGAATAAAGGGTTTCTGTGTGGTGAGGGCTTTTAATTTGAAAGAGCTTCTTGTATCAGGAGAATCATTTAGTTACTTTAGAAGCGAGTCTAGGAATGGCTGAAAGTGAGGCCACTTCTTGGACACCATCAACGTCTAAATAACGTGCTTTGTCATCAGATCATGAACGTGAAGCCATACGATCTTCGTCGCCGGCTCTACATCATTATGAGAGGGGAGGAGGGGCTGGACTACGGTGGCATCGCCAGGTGAGAGCAGCCTAAAACTCTTTCCTGCAGCTTCTCTTTACATCTTCAAATTCTGTCATTTTATATGGGTTTGTTAAGCTTGTTATGTAATCCAGGGGTTTTTAACGTTGGTGATGGTGTATTTCGTCTGTTCCTGCTGCTTTTCAATCTTTGCACCAGCTTCCTGTTGGGTAAAACAGCAATGGAAAAACCAGTGGTGTTTAAATGACTGCTTTTCAAAACTTGCGATTCTCTGAAAATCTTTGTTTTCTGCATTGTTCTTCCCCCAGCTTCATTGTTTTATTTTAAAAATTGTCCTCTACAATCTTTTTGCAAGTAAAGTGAGAAAGAAATTGTGTTTTTAAGGTCAATTTGCTGCAAGATAGGGCATCGTTACAGTTTCCATCCTGACCTGATGGTGGTAGCGTTGTCACCGTTATGATGCCTAAACCTAGACACAGTGATACTGATGTGTGTCTGTCCAGCCTGTAGATGCAGTAACACAATGGCGCAGATTTTAATCTGTTGTTTTTGTCTGAAATTGTTACAGCAACATCATTTTGATATAAAACTGCCTTTTCTGCCTTCTAGAAGTGCAGACGTGTGTGATAGTGTTGGGTTACTTGTTGCTCTCTCTCTCACCCTCTCACAACATTGCTGTCCTCCTCCATCTCTCCATCCGTCCATCACACGTGTCCATGCTGCCCGCTGCGTCTGCTGTCACTCAGGTCTTCCTCTCTGTACATGTTGTTATTTTTCCTCATTTTGTTCTCTTTGGTTTTGCATTGTGTCTCTGTCTCCGGTGTCACGTCAGTGGTTTTACCCTATGGTAGGTGACATCATGCTGTTCTACCACAGGGTAGAACCACGGACGGGATGTTGGGAGGTGTCTGCGTCCGTCAGTCCATACACCCTCCTCCCTAATATTCCCAAAGGGGAGAGGGCAGGGGCCTTGGGAGTGCTTGGTTCTGGTGCTGCAGCTGGTGGAGGGGGCCCTCATTCTCTCTAACGTGCATCCTTCCACAGTCTGTTTGTGTCTTTTTATTTAGTTCTACCTGGCTGTATTTATCCTAAATGTTATATGTTTTGTCTCCATGTAATTCATGTGTCAGATTTGGCTTGTAGGATGTGTTTATAACTATAAATGTACTTTCTATTCCCACCTAAACCACTTCAGAGTCATAAGAAAAATCTTCTTTTTCAGCTAAAAGAATTGATTTAGATTAATAACTGGTCAGCGAGATCCATTATCGGAAATGAACATCATGTTAAGGATCAGCAGAATAAAGAGAATTAAACCCAACCTTATTTGGTCTTCTATTTGATTTACACGAGGCATCGATGAGCTTAAAGAAATCATCGTGTCTACAGGACATCAGTATTAAGCCGTGCCAGTGGACTTTATGTTCGGCAGTAATTTTAGAGTTGAGCTTGGCAACACCTTGTAATTGGTTCCTGTCTTTTTGACAAGAAGATTAAAAGCAGCAAATGAGTGAAAAATGAAGACGCTGGAAGTTTAGGATGATAAATGTCGTAATTATATGCTGCCAATGAAAAAAAGCACCTCATTCTCGTGTGGGAGAAATGCTTTTTCATTTTCCTGCTTTTCTTATAAACTCCCTGTGATCATGTGCTCTTCTGTTGACTGTACAGCTAGTATAGAATGTGTTTTGGGGTTTTTAAAATAATAGTTTTGAGGTGTTTAATTTCAGTGTTGTATGTTACTGTTAGGTCCCTGCAGGATGACAGCCTCATGTCTTCCTCTCGTGCATTCACCTCCTCTTCTCCTCTTCCACAGGGAGTGGTTCTTCCTGCTGTCCCATGAAGTCCTGAATCCCATGTACTGCCTGTTTGAGTATGCTGGCAAGAACAACTACTGTCTGCAGATCAACCCAGCATCCTCCATAAACCCCGACCACCTCACGTACTTTCGCTTCATCGGTCGCTTCATCGCTATGGTGAGCTGTATTGAAATCGCACAAAAACACAGTTCTTTTGTTACATCTGAGCCATTTTTTTTCACTTGATCGCCACATACGGCAACAGTGTATCCAGATGTGTTTCTTTTAAAGTGAAACCTCAGTTTAATAAACTGAAGCGACGCTCACGTTGGGAAAGCCAAAATGCAGATGTGATGTAGTTCCTCTATCGTGTTGCGATCTTAGTAATATTGTTACTTTAGCAGCAAAAATGGATTTCACCGCACGTATGTAGGCTTTGTGTGTTTAACTAACCTTTGTGATTAGATGACTGCATTTCTAATCTCTGGTTAGCTAGTTTTGCTCACTGTTTAGAACAGATATCACATATTTTGGATTTTTCCTGAAAGTGCGTCACATAAAAGTCTTTCCACAGGCCGTCAGCCGGGAAAGCTCTCGCTCAGAGCAGGTTTCGTTTTGAAGTAGTTTGAAGCATTCATGCACGGCATTCTGGGGTCAACTCAAAAAAATTTGTAGGTCCCAAAGCCGTCACCCTCCACCTTCCCCTCCATCTCCTACCCCACCCCTCACCCACACCATGACTTCACTGCCGCACCCAGCCCACACCCGGCAGCAGCTGCCTATATTTAGCCCTAAACTGCACATTGCTGACTTTCCTCACAAAGATCGTTGTCTCTACCCACTCCCAGCTCCCAAAGCCTCTCTGACTTTATTTCTCGTGTCTTTTCCTTACCTGCTTTGCTCTCACTTCGGTCCCCCTCTGCTCTGCTTCCACAGATGCGGTGGGTCAGCAGGACAGGATAGTCTGTGACTGAGTCAGTGAGCGTCTGTGTTGTTCTTGGCTCATCGTAGCTCTGAACTCTCACAGGGTTTTTAACATTAAACAGCTCCGTCTGACTGAGTGTGCTCTCTCTGAAAACACACACACACACGAAGGAAAGATTAAGATGTGGTTTGGAGCCGTTTGTGGTCGCTGCACACGTTTATGTCCACGTCTGAGTCTTAATGATTTGCGTTGTTCTTGTGGCTGCAGTGATTTCAGAAATAAAAGCCCCATTCATTTTTTCTGCAAGTGTGATTGGCTGTTAAAGCGTTTCTAACACTTGAATGAGCTCAAAACGGCCCCCGTGTGAATCATCAGCATGGCGCGCGTCCGAGATGAAAATATGTGTAATTTGTCGGGCGTTAATTTGAAACATGTGCAACCAGAGTCCATAAAAAAACACTAATATCGCAGAATTACAGCAGGCCAAAAATAACCTCCCTCTGTCTCTGCTTTATTACATCCAGGAACTCAAACTTGCGCTATCATCAGCCTAACCCAATTACATTTTATGAAATGTGAGCGGTGAACACCAGGTGGCGTCTCTTATTGTGGTTTCTAATGTAATAAATCCTCCCTGCAGGCTTTGTATCATGGAAAGTTCATCGACACCGGCTTCACGCTGCCTTTCTACAAGCGAATGCTGGACAAGAAACCCACTCTCAAAGACCTGGAGTCCATAGACCCGGAGTTTTATAACTCCATCATGTGGGTCAAGTAAGTAATGCAGTCATGACTCCTCTGAATCTGTGCGCTCTGGCCACCTTATACTCACAAGGGTAGAGGTTGGCATGTGAGTTAGTTAGTGTTTTAACTAATAAAAGAAATGAACAGTAGGAGTCCAGGTGAATAGGTCATACTAAGCCAGTTATATCCAAACAACAGAAACCTGGATGCAGGAAGTCTGAAAGTCTTAAAATGCCTCCCAAACCACATTGATATATCAAGTAATTGTTAAATGACTTTTAGTTGACAAACCAGCTAAAAGCTTAGCTGATAAGACTCTGAGATGCTGCTCTGTTACATGTGCTGCTGACAGTGCTGATCACAAACAGTGGAGTAGGAGCGCCCTCAGCTGGACAGACTACAAAATTTATCAGACCACCACCTAATGTGAGGTTTTACTCTAAATTAGGGATGTCAAGGTCATTTTACATCGAGGGCCACATACAGCCCACTTTGATCTGAAGTTGACTGAACAAGTGAAACTCTGTCAGTGTAAAGAAGTTTCAGTACAAATTTAATCCCTGAGATGTCTTGTTATAAGATTAGGAAGTGCAATTTCAACAATACGCCTCAGTTTCTCTACACGATAAATGTGTAAAATTACAGAAAAGGTTCTGGCAGCTGCCCAGCCTGTCCCGTATCTGTAAAACATGAAGTTTTTGTTGATTCACAGCCACTTTTATTCAATTTTATTAAGATACATTTCAAAATGCCCGCCTTTACATTTTCCAAAGGTATCCAGTGGGCCAAATTGCAGTTTTTGCCAGGCCAATTTTGGCCTCTGGGCCTTATGTTTGACACCCCTTCTCTAAATTAACAGTATTAGTAAATACATTAAAAAAAATTTTATATTTCTGATATTTTTATATTTTATGTATGAACTGCCACATAAAGGAGTTGGTGTCGCAGTTTGTTCCAAGAAGGCTGCTGGATTTAGGTCAGTCTTGCAGGCGACACAGAGAGGACGAGGTGCTAATGTTTTTAGTTTCATTATGTGTGCGTCTGTGTTTTCAGAGAGAACAACCTGGAGGAGTGCGGTGTGGAGCTCTATTTTGCACAGGACATGGAGATCCTCGGGAAGGTTTCCACTCACCAGCTGAAGGACGACGGGGAGAACGAGCTGGTCACCGAGGAGAACAAGGAGGAGTACATCAGGTCAGTAAGCAGAAATGGGGACAGTTGGGCTGATGAAGACGGATGAGCGTAGGAGAAACAAGGTCTGTGGTGGAGAGCAAACCATAAAAAGCAGCCTCTTTGTTCACGCAGCCTGCTGACAGACTGGAGGTTCACCCGCGGGGTGGAGGAGCAAACCAAAGCCTTCCTGGACGGCTTCAACGAGGTGGTGCCTCTGGAGTGGCTTCGCTACTTTGACGAGAAGGAGCTGGAGGTGAGGAAGACTTGTATTTATTGGTATTTAGGCTTAAAATGTCATGAATCCAGCTGTTAGCAGCTCGTTTTACTTGTGTGTGTCTCCCAGCAAAAATCACACCACATGAAAACGATGCTTCGTGTTTTGCCTGATCGCACCATAATGCCACTCATTTGCGCCCCAGGGTTCCACTGAGGATTTAAAGTCACACGGATCAGGATCCCAGTGACACTGATATTTTGTGAGCTGTATAGGCACAGACCCTCACTGACTTCATATGCAAACATTTTGTTCTGGAAGCAGACCTAAAACGACAGAACTCAGAAAAGAGGAACAGAAGGGAAAGAGTTCATGAGCCAAGAGAAAAACCCCCAAAACAAGCTGGTGGGGGGTAAGCTTGGACTTTTTTTTTCTTTTCTTTTTTTGAAAAGTCTGAAATCTCATCCGACTTGAGCTGCAGGAGCCCCGTTTATCAGGAGGAAATGTGAGAACTTGGGCTGTAATCAGTAAAGTTTTATAAAGGACGTCAGGGTTCTGTACCACCACATGCAAAAATGTCTCTGAGCACACAGAGTGAAGTCACATGTGAGTAGTTTAAACTCCAAATTTTAAAGAAACCCCCCCTGTCTTTGTCCTTTTTGCAGCTGATGCTTTGTGGGATGCAGGAGATCGATTTGGCCGACTGGCAGAAGAACACCATCTACCGACATTACACCAAGAACAGCAAGCAGATCCACTGGTTCTGGCAGGTATGGGCCTGTAAACACACACACCTACCACGCTGATGCTCCTAGGAAAGCGCTGACCTGAGCGTTTTTTCTGCAGGTGGTGAAAGAGATGGACAATGAGAAGAGAATCCGTCTGCTTCAGTTTGTAACGGGAACCTGTCGGCTGCCCGTCGGAGGGTTCTCCGAGCTCATAGGTACTGACTGCGTTTACAGGGACAGGCGTGCCCTGGTTATGAGGATTCTCCTGGTTTTAATACTGTTGTAAATAGATCTCTGCCTTTGCATGGAGGGACCTGTGATGTTTACAGACACTAACAGGAAATTCTCAAGCAATTGTAAGGAAATTGAGCAGACATTTAGCTCCAAACCAAAGTGCTGAAACAAAAGCTTTTCCATGCTGCTCTGGGAGCTGGAAATCCCAGAGCATTTTCATAAGATATAATAAAATTACTCACTTTCTTAATCACCTTCAGTTTGAGTTTCTGCTATGCGAGTCGGCAGCATTCAGCTTCCTGTTCAGGGTTTGAGTTTTTGTTTGTGTGTGTGTGTGTGTCCTGCAGGAAGTAATGGTCCCCAGAAGTTCTGCATAGACAAAGTGGGGAAGGAGACTTGGCTTCCAAGAAGCCACACATGGTAAGATGCTGCCTCATGTTCTGCTTCTCCGAATCATCCATTTATTCATCGTCTCCCGCTGATCTTATTTAGGGTCGAGGGGGCGGAGCCTGTTCAAGCTGTTATAGGGTAAAAAGCAAGGTGTTTACTGAAGCGCTCCTCTGAAAAACTTAAAAATAGCCTAAGACTAGCAAGGTTACAAACGAGAAGGACAGCTTTACAAACCTCACAGCGGATCACCTGCCTCCATCACCCTATCCCAACATCCTCCTCTGTCACATCAGTCCCTGCATGTCCTCTTTCCCTCCCACCTGGCAGCTCCCTCTTCCACATCCTGTCTTCAGTATATCCACTATCCATCCTCTGCACTCGTCTCTCTAACTTTGTCACAGCCTGAGCTTTTCCTCCGATGTACTCGTTTCTAATCCCGCCCACTTAGCTCACTCCCAATGAAATTCTGAACATATTCAGCTCGGCCTCCTGTTATTTTGTCATCATAGCAGCTCTCGCAACAATCTTATGAACCTATCCTTCTGTCATAAATCACCCCTGACACCCATCTCCACCCTGCCTGCACTTTCTCTCTACTTAAATCACTTTCCTTAGATTACAGAGTCTTTTCACAGTACAGAGAGCTGCCGCTCTGAGGCTAAAATGAATGTACAAAAAGACATCTGATAGACAGATCAGCAGATTTAACTAAACGTCTTAAAGTGGACTCATTTCACTCAACTTCCAGCTCCAGGTTTTTATTCTGGGACTCTACTAGAGCAGCTTTGCATAATTTAGAATCCTTCTTCATGTTGTAGATGGTCTCTGTGCAGTCCCTCAGGTCATCGTCTGTCTGAAACGAGCAGCTATTCCTGATAAATTCACTTTTTTAAAGTCACATAGTATTCAGAACCTCCCTGACAAGAGTCACATTTTTTATGCATGTTTTACCATCTCAGGACCGCCCCTCTGTCACCTTCACCTCCTGGATTAGTATCAGGAGAAGACGCTTGTATCTTAGCTGTAACGCTTCTGCTACATTTCGAAGGGAATTCTCGTTTTAAAGGAGAAAGAAAAAGACAGTTGAAATTTAAGGACGTGGATTCGGACAGGATTTCAGCTGCAAAAGTAATTTCAGCTAAAAAATACACATGATCTAAAATGAATTAAAACCACTGAGCAGGGCAGGTAGGATTTAAAACGGTTACTACAGGGGGGGAAAATAAAAATCAGGATTTCACTTCCTCTGTTTGAGCTGTGAGCAGCCTGGGAGCGTTTAAAAAAAATAGATAAATGTCACCCTGAAGTTCCATCTGTAAATCCACGCTGAGGTGTAACTCTGTCTCCTCCTCCTCAGCTTCAATCGTCTGGATCTGCCTCCCTACCGAAGCCTGGAACAGCTCCGAGAGAAGCTCCTGTTCGCCATCGAGGAGACGGAGGGATTTGGACAGGAGTGAGACGAGGAGGCAGAGACGGACGACACTTAAATCGACGAATAGTTTTTTGTTATTGGTCTTATTTTGCGTTTGTTTGTTCATCACAGGGCTGAGGAGTCACCTGTCAGCTAAACAAGCCCTCACCTGGGCGAGGATCATGTTAGTGAGCTAGTGAGCTGAATCATGGGATCAGGCTTGAGGCACAGGAACACAGAAGAGTGAATGCTTACGTGTGTGGGTGTGAGTGTGGTTGCTCATGTTAATGCCATTGTGTATTTGCATATAAATGGTGTGTATGTGTGTGGATTAAACAGGATGACCACTCCCCCCCCCTTACTCACTGCTTAGAACCGCACCAAAACCAGACGACATGATAGTTTTAATGTCAGCAGCGACTCACAGCGACAGCACAGCTACCCGCAAATGCAGTACAACATATCTACCAGAGAGACGTACATTTTAAGCATATTAAAGCAGCGAGACGGCAGCGTGTGAGAGGAAGCTGTTATCGTGAACTAGTGCGCCTCTGTTACAGAGGTCAGAGAGATGAGATGCGATTTTATTTTTTCTGTTGATTGTGAAATTCAGTCGATTTCTCCTGTATATAACTCAAATAAATGAGATTTCAGTCATAAGATGTTTGGGTGAGGCTTTCTTTTTAAAATGCTTAATCCAGTGTGAGTGACGTAGGTTCAGCATTAATTGGTTTACTGTGCCGTGCAAACAATTCGAGCCACCCTTTGTTTCTTTATTGTCAGACTTTCTTTTTTTAAAGTGCTCTTGAGCAATCGTTCTGCAGGCTTTCTGAAGGTTTTTCACAGCTTTTCTTTGGACACTGGCGGCTTTTTCACTTGAACCTGATCATTTCTTTTGTTTGTTAAGCTACTTGACACCAAACTCTGAGTCATTCAAGAATAAAAAGGCACCAAACTCAACCAGTACCAGACAACTTGGCAAAGAAACATTTTAAATGGTATCTTTAGGCACTTTGGTACTAGGAGCATGTCGCAAAGACACATAATTTGTTCCCATTTCTTTTGTTGAATTTATGAAAAATATCAACGATAACACAGTTTGACAAACACAAGCAAACACTATCAGTCATGGAGTGGCCTCTCCAGAGCTCGGATCTCAATATTATTGAAGCAGTGTGAGATCATTCTGATAGAGGACGGAACAAAAAGGCAGCCGGCTTTCAAACAAGAGCTTTAAATGTCCTTCAAGGAGCTCAGAGAGCTACTCCTGAAGAGTGCTTAAAGAAATGACATGAAAGCAGCCTCAGAGTTCAATCTATGGTGAAGTGTAAAGGTGGTCATCCCAAATATTGACTTTCAGGCCCCTTAGAATTGTACAGAATTGTACTGTTTTTGCCTTATATACTGTATTTCCAGTTGTAAATATGTTTGCACCCATGAGGGGCGGCTCGAGACTTTTGCACAGAAATTACATAATGACTTACAATCATTAAAGTGTATATAACTTCTTTACAGAGGAAAATTCAAATGATGATGGAGATTAGCAATGCCCAGATGTCAGATTTGAACTTCACAATAACAATACTGTACTGTTGAAGAAAGATGAAATGATAACCTTACTCAAAATGTATTTTATGTGTGGTTTATGATTAATTACCCAAAATAGAATATTTATAAAAACATGCTTTGCATAGAAAAATTCACCATGTCACAATTGCTGTCGTGATTGCCATCATTACTGTGTTTAAAAAAATAATCAACGATATTATTGAAATGTTTAGGGAAAATTTAAAAAACGAACCATCTCTGTAGCTTTGTTTGTGGTTTTTGTTTTTAAAAAAATCGAATAATAAAAATAATATTTTAAAGGTGTTTTACACTGATTATCAAGGGTAGCGGTGTCACCTTTTTACTGACAAGTTTCCTGAGACGACTTGAGGAATGTTGACATATGTTATTTCACTGTCTTTGTAGGGGGGATTACACTCTGCCTGGGCCCCCCAGTTAGAGCTCAGCCCGAAGCAGTTTGAGGTTTGGCCGACTGGGTCACAATAATTGAAAATGCATGTTTGGATGTAACCATGCACGCAAACTTTGAGTGAATCTTCACTCTCAGTCTCCCATTGGCCGTCCAGTTTGTGGCTCTGGGCACAACAGATTATGTCTACAGCGGTGGAAAGACAATAAATTTAGTGAGTACGCTGGAGAGGTTTACTTAATCAGCCCACTGGCCACAGGCAAGAGGTAAGGATGAGGTGGTTTGGTGATGTGCAGAAGAGGGTTGGTGGATGTATTGACATAGGGTGCTGAAGAGAGGACTTTTATTGTGAAAGTATCTCTTCCTTTGCTGGGACCGGAAATAACTTCTTCTCGTTCTCATTCGCCGGAAGTACACCGGAGTTAGTCGCAGTTCTAAATGAAAATGCCACCTTTGTAGTGTTCGGATGACACCGGGACATTAACGGTGAATTTAATCATATCTGAAATGCCTACTGGTGCTCACATCCGCCTTCCCCGTCGCTTTAATGTGGTGAGCGCGGATGAAGTCGCCAAGTTGTGCTACGAGCGTTTCAGTCAGCTTCCCCGCAGAGGGAAGCCTGAGCCGGGCAGAGAGTGGACCCTGCTGGCCGCTGTGCTCCAGATCACCCGCGGAGCTGACTCTCATTCAGGTTGTTCGGCAGGATGGACCAGTCCACTGTTCTGAAACCCCAGTTTCATTCATTTGTTCCCCATTTCTACCAAACGTCACTGCTAAAAAGACATTTAAAGTTTTCTGAAGATGGGGAAAAAGGCTTTAAATTGTTCTAAATTATGTCCATAATGTATATTTCAGCGGACCTGTAGACACTGATATGAGTGAGGTATAGTGATGCGATATTTTTCTTTTTCCATCGCAGTTGCTATGGAGGTTGTTTCTCTGGGAACTGGGACCAAATGTATTGGACAGACCGCCATGAGTCCCACAGGTGTGTGCAGATGGACGTTTTGTGTCTCAGATGCTGAAGGTGTCGATTGTGCAAACCAAATTTTGTTTTCCTTTTTTAATTCAGGTGATGTACTTAACGACAGCCACGCAGAGGTCATTGCCAGGAGGGGATGTATCAGGTGTGTGTATGAACCCACCTGTGTCACTGCAGGCTGTTTGACTGTGCTGATTGCATTATGTATATGTATGCGTTTTTATTTGCAGGTACCTGATCCAGGAGCTGCACGGGGCTGTGAGCGGTCAGGGCAGCTCTGTGTTTTGTGCAGCAGATGAGCGAGGAAAGTGGAAGCTTCGGCCCAGAGTTTCCTTCCTCCTTTTTACCAGCCACACTCCCTGTGAGTGTCAGCACACAGGACAGCGACAATAACGAATACAGTTACACACAGCAGAAAGTAGATGGAAAGAAATCAAACCAGATCTGTGTTGCTCACACAGAGAGCGGCTAGGTTATCAGCTGTAGTTACTGTGAGTTAATGTGAGGTAGTTTGGTAACTTACCCAGTTTAGATTTATTCTGTTTTTTGATTACATAACCCATTCTAGCAGAGTGTAATGCAGGTCTTTATAAATGATAACATGTAATAACTCCTGTTTGTGCCAGAGATGCAAACAAATAGCCTGAAAAGTCTTTCAGCTCTTGAGCTTTGATGCAGAGTTGATATGGCAACAGTTAAATATTCACCACTGATAACATTTAATATCCGCTTATTAAGCAGTAAACCTAAATATTAGTCAGCAGCGGCATTGTTAGCCGATAAATAATAAAGATGCATTTCTGATAAGGATTGTTAATGTTTAACTCTCCAACCTCTTTATGGTAAAATTAGTTCCATGAGATGATGAATAATTGAGGACTTGACATGATTATTCTTGTTTGTGAAGGAAGTCAGTCCAGCCTTTTCATGCAGAGAACAGGGATCATTTGTGATAAAGCACATTGCGCTATAACTGAGACCGGCACAGTTCTGTGGGAACAAAGAGAGAAAGTAATTCTCAAATCATCGTTGCTCACCTGCTTAATCATCTCTGATTTACACGAAACTTTTACGGTCCAAAGTTTGGACACCTGTAATGATTGCTGTGAAATTTCAGCTTTATATATCAAAAACTTCACAATATATATATAGTTTTTAAACTGCAGCACTATATACATATAAACAGTATTAACAGAAAAAAAGTAAATATGTATTGCACAATGGTTTATAGAGGAAAATGGGAAAAACGTTGCGGCGAAACGTTGAGAAAGCACCGAGTTTTTTAAATGGACTGACAATGAGGTGAAGTTGCTGCTGCGAGTAACGCAAAAGTACAAAGTTGCAAAAGCGAGTGAGAATGAAAGAATTTGAAGAAAAGCTCTCTGGAGCACGTACGGACTGATATTAAGCTTTAATAGGGCTGTCAAAAGTTTTCGCTGTCCACACTGCGACACATAAAGCACCGTTTTCAAATTACGCGTTTTCGAGAGCGTTTTCAAAACGCTGCGTTTTCCATGAGCGAGAACGGCGTCTCGGTATGGACGGGAGGCCAAAACGGAGAGAAAATGATGCGTTTTCAAACTAAAACGCATTAGTGTGGACGTAGCCTTACACTGTAGTATTTGTTATTAGCTGTGAGGCGTTTGCAGGCGCTTTCTTTTCTGTTGTCTTTCAGACTATATGCATTCTACCTTTAACCATACCTTTATCTGTCTTGGCTTTAATCATGCAGAAGTGTGCCCTCATGCCATTTGTTTGTCCGATCTGAAACCAGGTGGCGACGCCTCCATCATCCCCATGACTGACAGCCAGCCTCAGCCCTGCCCTCCTGTCACATCAGTAAAGGGCCATGAACAGACTGATGGAGGAGGAGACCTGAAAAGGAAAGCAGAGGAATCCGGCGAGGAGCGAATCTCTAAGCAGCCTCATCTGGAGGAGACGGCAGAGACAAAGGAAGAGGACAGAGGAGACACAGAACAGCGTGGATCGCTGAACTTTAACAAAACATCGGAAACATCCTCACAAACCAGCAGCTCTGCAGTCTTGGCTCAAACTGATGGCACTGGCCTGCATCATCAGGTCTCAGACATTCACAGAACAGGGGCCAAGTGTGTACCGGGTGGCCCAGCTGACCCTCTGCAGCCTGGGGTGGGGTATCACAGTCCGGGCGTTCTCCGGGTAAAGCCCGGCAGAGGAGAGCCAACTCTCTCCCTCTCCTGCAGCGACAAGATGGCCCGCTGGGGGGTGCTGGGCTTCCAGGGTGCACTGCTGACCCATTACCTACAGGAGGCGCTGTACTTCAGCACCGTGGTGGTGGGAAAGTGTCCATATGACCAAGAAGTCATGCAGAGAGCTTTGGTCACAAGGTAATGCTGAACCGGCTGCTTTATATTTTTATTAGTCATGCGCTGTGAAAACTTCACCTGAACAGATACAGAGCCAGTAATCACTCTTACAACTCGTGATAATAATAAACACCAAATAGAGATATTGAAGATTTATGTAACAGTTCCAGTCATGACCAGCATGTCAAGGATCCTCCTTGATGTAAAACAACGTTAGGTTCAATTAGAGAGAGCTAAATGCAGCAGATATTAATGAAAGTGAAATGAGTGCAATGACTTCACAGTTCAGTTTGGTTTCTGCCAGAAAAACGACCTGTTTGCAAACAGTTGCCTTTCAATGAACGAAGACACGTCC